GTATGAACTATTTAGAATAAAACTAAAAAATAATAATAACAAAACAACAAAAAAAAATTAGTAACGCATAGAATGGATCATAGATCATTCAAATGTATATGATATAATGTGATAATTATTAATTTTTTTTAAAAAAAAATAATATAAGACAAAATATAAATTTATAAATAATTTTAATATGACTTAACTTTATATATGAACCAATCAAATACAAAAATAAAATAAAAATTTGTCATAAAATTAATTTTGTGCAAAAGCAAGGTCGAACAAAATAAGCGAAATTTATTTTTATAAGAGTCATATAAAAAGAAAAAAAAAATACTATGTAAATTTTTTATAAAATTAATTATGTGCAAGAACAATGTCATATTTGTTTAAGGTGAGACAAAATATAACTTTATAAATAGTAGTAATATAATCCACTTTATTATTTTTAAATAATACTCCCTCTGTCCCATCGAAATTGAACTTTTTGATTAGGGACACTGTATTTAAAGTGTGGATGTTTAATTAGTTAATAATAATTAGTTATGATATTATTATATTAATTTTTGTATAATGAATAATATTTATAGTTTTAAAGTAAATTTAATATATATGATTAAAAAAATTAAAATATATGTTTAAATATTTAAAAATTATATAGCAATTAAAAAATATATGCAATATGAATATAATTTTGTAGAAAATAAAATCTTCTATTATGCAAGTAAATAAAAAAAAATATTTTTATTTATTTATAATTAACATAAAACAATTTTATAAAAGATGTGTAGTTTAAAATATAGATAAAAATATTTATTTTTTTTAGGAGAAGGGTAGAAATAAAGGGGTTTTGAGTGGGTCCTACTTATGTTGTATGTGATGTAGTTAATTAAGTTGATTTATATTTGTTAAATATATTTTGGTTTAATAATTTTTACCAAAAATAAAAGGTGTCAATTGTTAGGGGACAAACAAAAATGAAAATAGTGTGTGATGGAACGGATGGAGTATTTTGGTACAAAAAATAGTAAAATTCATTATTATTAAGGTATACTGTTTGTTTAGTCTCATAAGTGGACCATTTATCAATTTGGTCTCGTAATTGAAGATTGTCATAAATAGTCCCGTAAATGAAATTTTTTTGCATATTTAGTCCTCTTACATCGGAGATGTCTGTCTGGCACCTGCATGCATGCCGGAGGACACGTGGCCGCCTTGGTCAGCGCCACCCGACGGATATGTGGATAATTTGTTTATTTTATTTTTCAAAATAAAAAATATAAAAAAATAATAAAGAAGAAAATAAAATTGAAAATAAATAATAAAAATTACTTCATCCGTCTCAATTCAAAGTACTTTTTTTATCATTTTCGTCTGTCTTATTTCAAAGTATATTTTTCTTGTTTTAAAAAAAGTAATCATACACAAATACAAAATACTTTTAACTTTTACTTAAATTACAAACATACCAGTAGATATACAATTACTTTATAAAAAATTCAAATTACAAAAATGTCAAAATCTCTTCCATACTTTTACTAAATAATAAAATAATATTATTTTTTAATCTATTGCAAAACCTCGAATAATCATTTCAAAAGGGAGGGATGGAGTATTTTTCACTTCTTATATTTTATATTTTAAATTTTTATTTTTAATATTTTTTTCTATTTCAATTTTTAAAAATAAAATAAAAATTATTTACATATCTGCCACGCAGCGCTCATCCGACGAACATGTGTCCTCAAATATGCCATGTAAGTATCTCCAACTCCCTAGAATCAAATGTGCAAAATATTTTTAGTTACGGCCCGTCTCCGCTTTAGAACTGATAAAAAGTGATAACTATTAATATGTATATGGCCCAAAAAATAATTCAGTCCATTATTATTGATATAAGTATAGAACCAACTTTAATATTAATAAATCAAAAATTAGAAAAATAACAAATAAAATATAAAAAAATTAGAAAAATAATATGGTGTAAGGTGGGTCATACACAACTCATGTATGTATACTACTCCTTTTGTTCCAAATACCGTGTCTGCTGCAATATAGACATAGTATTTTAGGAGAGGTTTAATTAATAAATAATTAAAAATATATTAGTGAAAATAATTATCTTATAATATAAATAATTATAAATTAAGATTAAGATAACTAATTAGTTTAATTAAAATTAAAAAAATAAAATTAAAAAATTTAAAATAAGATTAAAGTGTGTAATCATTTTTCGAAAAAGGAAAGTGAGATGGTATGTGAGACGGACAGAAATGACAACGTGGATATGATATTGGGACGGAGGGAGTAATTTTTATCATAGTTTAATGGCTATCACACGTGTGACTTAATATAGATGGTCATATTTATAACAATAATTGTGTTGTTGACAGCGATGTAGATACAAGGGTGTCTTTGTTTGGGGTTTGGATTTTGAGTTGAGATTTGAATAGTAAAAATTTTGAATTTGAATAGTTGTATGATGTGATATAAATAGGTGTTGATGTGATGTTTTGAATGTAAAATTGAATTTTAGTATAATATAAATAATGAAAAATAGGTGTTTAATTTGATATTTTTGGGGGAAAATTTTTGGATGAATAATAGGATTTTGATAAAATCCTACAAACGAACACACCCAAATTTATATATTGATATGACCCATATTTATTATTTTATATACTAAGTTTTTTGGTCCAAAAAATAGTTCAATTATTATTATTAATATGGTAAATTATATAGTATCTCTTTGTATTTTAGTACATAAAATATTTTATATTTTATTTTATTGCCTCAAATCTTTTTATATTAATATAAAATTTGCATGAAACACCTATTTGTCCCAAAGTTGATGTTTGATTCTAAATAAAAACTTAAATTAAGTAAATTTTATACAAATAAAAAAAAGATAAAATATTTTAAATAATTTTTTGAATAAAATAGATAAATAAATAATTGATTAATCCTTCGTTTTATAATTTTTTAGAGAAAAATTGTTATTTGATTTTATATAAACTATAAAAATAAATGATTTAATCAATTATTTATTTATTTATTTATTTTATCCAAAAACTTATTTAAAATATTCTATACTTTTTATTTGTATAAAATTTGTACTCCCTCCCTCCCGGATATTTTGTCCGCTTTACTATAGATACGGAAATTTAGGAGGGATATAATTAGTAAATAATTAAAAATATATTAGTAAAAATAATTATCGTATAATAAAAATAAATATAGATTAAGATTAAAATAACTAATTAGTACAATTATAATTTAAAAAATTATATTTAAAAATAAGATTAAAATGTATAATTCTTTTTCAAAAAAGAAAAACGACAAAATAAATGAGACAGACGAAAATAAAAAAGTGAACATAAAAAGTGAGACGAATATAGTATAATTTTTAGATATTTATTTAGAACTAAATATACATTTTTACTAAAAAAAAAAAAAGTGTTATATAATTTAACCTTATTAATATATATGGCTCAAAAAATATTTCAGCTCATTATTATTAATATGTACAGAGACTCCACTGTAATATTAAATATTAAAAAATTATAAAAATAAAAAGAATAAAAAATTTAGAAAATACTATAGTGAAAAAAGAAGAAGTTAATTGTCCCTCCATCTCATGTACCTATTTCTTATTTTGTAGTTAATTAAAAGAATAATAATATTTTATTAGTTAGTAAAATTATATAATTTTATTTTAATATTTTTGTCCTAAAAAATACAAATAAAATAATATTTTTATAAAAATTATTAGTATTTTGGTATTTAAAAATTATTATTTTTCTATAATTAAAAATAGGTAATTTTGAGTGATGAACGAAATGATAAATATAGTATATTGAATTGGAGCATACGAAGTAATATTTTAATATCATTTTTGTATTTTTATTTTTATTTTTTTTGTAAGAATAGAATTGAGAGTTTATAAAAATTAGAAATATGTATAATCTTTGAATTAAAATATAATAGGTGTAAAAAATATGTAAGATTAATAGTAGGATGTGTGAAAAAAGTTGTAGTCTCACATATATGATGCAATATTTTATTTTCGATATTAAAATTTAGATAGATTATATTAATTAGAATAAATTGAAAATTGAGTGACACAATAAAAAATAAGTGTATATTTATCTTTTCAGTAGTTATGTGAAAAATAGTTAATAATTTATATTTTGGAGATATTTCAGGTACATGTACCATGTAATGGACCAAAATGAAAAATATTACAAATGTGATGGAATGAGTATTTTTTTATTAAATATGGTATAAACAAATTCTTTGTAAATAGATTACCACTTATATTACCGACATAATTTTTTATATCTCTTGTTAAAAAAAAAAATTCAAATCATAACACTAAGCAAACAAACTCAAAAATTTTAATAAAAGAATTAATAGAAAATGATGGATAAATTAAAAAGAAATAAAACAAACAAAATAATTACTCCTAATGTCTGACTTTATGTACACATGTAAATTTGATAAAATTATAATTAATAAATAATTGAAAAAATATATATTAATAAAGTAATTATAAATTAAAATTAAAATAATTAAATAGTATAATTAAAATTAAAAAATTTAATATACAATGAATAAAAATAAAAAATAATAGTCAAATAAAGTGAGATAAAATGTATACTATTATTTATTGAAAAAAGAATAAAAAAAATTAAAGAAATAAAAGAAGATTATGTCATAATTTTAGGAGACAGAAATTACTCCCTTCGTCCCAAACACCCTGCTTCCAAAATAAGAAATAATTAATTATATACTTAATCTCCATCCTACATTTTATCCCCTCGTATCATCCAAATAAAAAAATAAAATATATATTTCTTTCTCCATCACATCACTTAATTTTTAAATTATCCTACTTAATACTACCCACCTAAAAACTCACCTAAAAACTCGTGTCAAAAATAAATGTTGCATTTTGTTTGGAACGAGGGAGTACAATTCATCCAATAAAAATAGACGAAGAACCGAAGGGAGGATTAGAGCAAGAATACAGGCACGAGAAGTGATAAGAAAAGAAACCCAATAATACAGAATCAGTTACAAAATTAATAATAATTACGATATGGAACATTGGAATTACACAATAAAATCAACCAAAAACTAATACTAACTCTAAAACTAAGACTTGCACACAACAGCACAGCAGATACATCTGTTAATCAATAAATTTATTGAATAGTTAGCACTTAGCAGGAGAGGAGAGGTCTATTGAGGTTTCAACTGTGCTCCTCTTCACCATCTCCATTCTCTCTGCTCAGCTTCGACTTGGACAGCGGCAGCGTCGACAACATCGCCTTGCTCGACTGCAAGTTCAGGTACGTGTAGAACGACATTCCAGCCAGCGCCGTCCCTGCTCCCAGAATGCTTGTCCGCCCCGGGTTCGACCCGAACAGAAAAAACCCTCCCAGAAGAATGACGCATGTCTTGAACTGTCCGAGGACAACGTGGGTCGTCGCAGAGGTTGCCCTGCATTCAAGATTACGACCGTTACACATCAGCGGTAGGAAAGCTATATAATAGTGTACGTAATTAATAATATATTTTTAAAGTGAGATGATCATTTAATACAATATTTAGAATGGCGTGATGGAAGACTATATACTACCTCCATATCATTGAAATTTATGCCCATTTCATTGGGCATGAATTTTTTAAAAAGTGGGTAAACATATAATTTTTTTCCTAAAAAAACAAGGATATTTTTTACAATAAAAAAATGAACATAAATTTGAATGACATAAAGAATAATATGTAACTAATGATACATTTCCATAATTAAAAGAAAATTTTAATGTGAAACTGTGATTTAACAATAGGTTTCAAAACTCCGTGTACTTTACACACATATATAAATCAGCAAACAAACAACAGGCCGGTTACGTTTTGGGTATGTTTGTTTGAATGTTTGGATTTTGAGTTTAAATTCGAATAGTAAAAATTTTGAATGATAACAGTTGTATATAATGTGCAATAAAATTGATATTATATTTCGAATATAAAATTGATATTTAGTATAATATATAAAATAAAAGTTAATTATTTGATTTGCTATTTTTTGAAAAATAACTTTTTATGAATAGTAAACTTGTCGTTCAAACAAATACACCAGAACTAAGACCTAATTTCAACAATCATACAGATTTATCACCCCCAAAAAAGAAGTTTGGAAAACTTTCAAAACAGTAGTTGAGCCATCTACTAAACATAGATACAATAAAATTCAAGAACTTAATCTATCATATGTGCATATATATATATATATATATATTAAATGTAAACTATACATACTATTGTGGTTGCAAAATGTAACATTTAAAAAATAGATATACTCACTACTGATACTAAGGCTCTCTTCTCTTTGAATTCTTTTTCAATTTATTTGCAAACTAGGTCTGACGCTACTGAGGTGTCGGGGGTTTGAACCCATGACCTCACGGTCACAAATCAAATCCCTAAACCACCGGTCCATCCCTTGGGGGACTAGGGAATGTGTTATTTTATATGAATATCGCATTGTTCTCTATCAAATTTATTAAATATATATATATATATATATATTTCACACTTACACTCCCAAACGAAGCAAAAAAGAAAAAATGAAGACGAAGAGCACAAGACACATACCCGAGAGCTAGAGCACCGGACCACTGAAGCAAGAAGCCCAAAACAGCCGAACCACCGATAGTAGCACAATTGTAGAGATTCCAATCAAAAGAAAGAACACCGGGAGGGTCCAGCGATGGCATCAACATCACCAAGAAAAACAATGTAATAGGTGTGGTCTTCCACATTAAGCTGTCAAAAAGACAAAAAAATTGGGATTTTCTACAAGTAAACTAACACATTGAGAGAGAGAGAGAGAGAGGACTCACGCGAGAGCAGTCCAATTGTCTTGTTGCTGGAGATTAGACCACAATATTTTATTAACAGCGCTTGGCACAATCCACGCTACCGCCACACAAGCACCGAAAAAATGAAACTGGAGATCAGTCACCGTGGCGACAGCAACGCCAATCGATACTACAGTAAGTGCAATCACCTAGAAAGAGTAAAATCAGTAACAAATAACATGAAATCAGAGATTTTTCCCAGTTACTTCTTATGTAATCAATCACCTTTCGAGTCGAAATTTTTTTACTGAAGAGAATGAACTCAGCTAAAACAATAGCAGGGGTCACAGCAATCTTGGCCATCTGATAAAACCCGACGCTGAAGAAAGAAAATGTCTATAATGCCAGTAACAAAATGTGAAAAGAAATCGAAATTAGACACAAAAACACCTCACCTATTATATTTTAAGCTAACATTCGCGAGGCCAGTGGAGAGCGACATAACTATACCGAGTGACAACAATGAAGAATATTTTGTGGGCTTTGGTGGAGAAGATAAAGAGAGGATAGATAGGGCTTTTAAAAGTGCCATTATTAACCAACTACATACATAGTGAATAAAAGTTAAGAAAATTGGATAATTAAACCCAACATTTACGAGTACCTGAAAGATTAAATAGAAAGGATTAATATACAAATACTTACATGATTGCCATGGAATAAGACAGGTTGGAAATATTTTTGGCACTTACCAGTTTGTTCATCAAGATAATACCGACAGAAACCAAAAAATTAAATGTAAGAGCAATAGTTGGCCTCCAAAGTGATTGCTGTTGACGTTTGGATCCCCCGAATGACCGTAATCTGTTGAACATGGAAGCCCGTAGCTCCTCCAAGGCTCTTCCTGAAAGCATGAAAGGGAATAATTAGTTTCAGACATAAAAATCAATGAATATAAGCAACCCTCTTTGCTGTTACAAACATGTGTGTGTTAGTCGTTATGTGAATGTCGAGATGGAACTTCTTCGTATCATTATTAGTTATTTAGTTGCAAAGAGGAGATTTCCACTTTTATTGTTACATTTTCAATGAAATTTCATACAATCTGAATATATCTCAATGAGACAATGAACAAACTGGCTATTGGAAAAAAAAAAAAAAGGGGGGGGGGGGGGGGGATAGTTATTGCAAATTTTATTAATTTCATTTGACATAGGCAAATCAACTGTTGAGATCATTGGTAAAGATTTTCTTATATTAGCACCACCTAACGTTTCAATCAATCTTTTTAGTGGCTACATATTAATTAAATAATGGTGCTGTCAAGACGATCTAACGGAACAAGCTAACCTAAAACCTACTATAGCCCGCAATTTAGCAAGTTCTGAGAATTACTCAATCGAACCCTCCTTTTAAGGCAAGGGATCTACGCAATAAAATCAACCCATTTTGACAGCCCTATACATTCTTGGAATGATTTTATCTGACTTTCATAACTCTTTACATATTTTATAGCCTTTCTAATTTTACCCAAAGCCAACACACCAATTTTCAAACAATTTTGACAATAAGATTCAATATTACAGCTAGAACGCTGGGTTGACGACCTCCGACCAACCCCACAGGCTCAACTCATTTTGATAGTTCTATTAAAGAATGATATTTTAAATCTAAACACCATCATACACAACAACAATTATGAACATCTGATTGACAAACGATGACTTGGTAACACCAATTCCGCTAGGCACTAGTGATGCCTAAAGACACCTTGAAAAGATACTCATTCTCTCAGACATATAGTAAAAATTTATGCTTCTCTTTTTCAAAGAAAGCGTGGAGAAAATAAAATAAGATATATCCAATCCTGCCTCTCGAAAAAATTGCCCATCTTTGGATGTATGTTTTCTTCTCTGCTTTTTGTCTTTCTTTCATATACAATTGAAAATATATATTATAAACAATAATTCAACCATTACACTCTAATCAAATACTATAAATAAATAATCTGAAACTAAATGCATAGAATTGTGCTCAAAGATTGTACAATGGCAGGCAGTGAGTTCTTTTGCTAGCAAAAATTTAATTATCATGAGAAAATCTTAGAACAAATTTTAAGGCTTGAGTAGAGCTCTAACCTGTTTTAGATTTAATTTATTCAAAACAGTGTGTCTATAAATAAATCCTAGTAGGTAGTGCACATTAGTGTTGTGACTTTCACTTAATTGAAGATCTTTTGGCATGTCACTTAAAGCAAAGCAGCAACTCAAATTTCAAATCAATGGAAAAGCAAATCTGACCAGCAATCCAAACCCTATTTGCATTTGCAGCAAGCACTTAGAAGAAATTCCCCAAATAAATATAAATAATATGCTTTGTTTTAATCAATCCCAGAAACCACCAAAGGCAGACATTAAATCACTGAAGTAATTCTAAAAGAAGAAGAAGAAGATACTCATTTCTGCAAGAAGGCTACTGAAAAGGCGATTCGAATGGTTACCACCGACACAGAAGAGAAGCAAATGCAGAACAACGGCATTGAAACAATCCAAAAACACAAAAACGAAATTCGACGAAAACCAAAATTGAAAATTGAAAAGCGAGAAGAGGAGAGGAGAGTAAAGGAAGCAACCTCTTTCGCCAGCATCACTGTCCTTGCGCTTGAGAATTTTTCTGACATCTTTTCTAACTAAAAATCCCAACATTCTGAGCGAGGAGTTGGAGTTGGAGTTGGCCTTGCCCCCGAGAGCGTGTGCATTCCCTGAAAAACGAGAGAAGAGTAGCCCAATCTTGGCGGTCAAAAGAAGAAGAGAGAATCCGGACAAGACAAAATCAGATTTGATTTAAGGGAAGGGGGAGGAATTCGCGGCGAGATTGAGAAAAAAAGGTAATGAGTAGTGAGTGTGTGGGGAAGGGGATGGGGAAGGGGAAGGGGACTTGGGAGTGAGGGAGAGTATTTGTTTGCAGTAAGAAAGCAAAGCAGTACATTACATGTGAATATGATAATACAGTTCCAACCCAAGTCCTCTCCATTCATACTTAGGTAGGTGGTCTTGTCTTGTGGGTGGGGGGCCGCCGCGCGCGGACTCCTACGCTGTCTTTATTTGCTCATACCTATTAGTTTATTTTCAATTTAATTTTTTAATAAATTATTTTAAATTTTAAGTAAAAATATATAGTATTAGGTTGTGGTATTTTTTTTGTGAAATTTACCACAAATTTTTATTATTCAGTTTTTTTTTTTAATATATTAAATTGAACAATTAAATTTTTTTTATATCATACTTCGATTTAGGAGGGTATAACTAGTAAATAATTAAAAATGTATTGATAAAAATAATTTTAGATAAAAATTAAAATAATTAATTAGTTTAAATAAAAATTTTAAAAATTATAAATTTAAATATTTAAAATAAAATTAAAATGTATAATTTTTTTTCTATAAAAAAATGAAAATGACACAATACATGGGACATATAAAAATAGAAAAGTGGACATGGTAAGTGAGACGGTATTATAAATTTATTTTACATTCAAAACATCGCATCAATGTCTATTTATATTACATCAAATAAATATTTAAATTAACTTCAACTTCTTACTATTTAAAACTCCAAAACCAAAAATCCAAACCCATAAACAAACACACACTATGTTACTTCCATGTTCCTTAACAATCTATTTATTTTTTTATTTTGATCCGTCCCATAACAAAGTATTCATTTCCTTTTTTAATAATTATATTATCTACCTAACATTACAAATATCCTTCTAATTTACAATATATTACACAAATGTCATTACATTTATATCATATAATACTAATAGAATTAATTTAGTTTTTTTACCTTTATTTCTATTTTATCTCAATATAATATTAATATTTTTAAATCTTCGTGCAAAAAGCAAATAGATATATAGATATGGAACAGAGAGAGTATTTGTTTGGTAATTAGCTTATTCAATTCTTTTAATTTATTAAATAATTTCTAGCTCTTTAATCAAATTGATATTGACTATTAGGTAAATTAGTCTAGTTACGAGACTAAAATAATAAGGAGGTCCAGTTACGAGACTAAAATAATAAGGAGGTCCAGTTACGAAACAAAAAAATCAGTTTGCCCTGAAAGAAATGTAGCAAACATATTTCGTAACAGGTTGATCCAGGTACAGTAGCACGCGAGAATCAACCAATACGCAAAAATAAGTCCAGTACATAAAACAACGTAAGAACGTATAACGTCAAAGATAGGGAATCATGTGTGGTGGCCTACAGCGACGGAATGCACGCATGGAGAAGATCTCGCCAATGGGATGGAGATGCTCCATGATCAGCCAAAAGTGTTCGCCAAGCACTACATATCGTGACAATAGTCAAAGTGACCGGATGGACGCATCAGTAAAGTCCGTTGTCGGGGTTTGCATGTGGAAAACACGGGTTCTTGTCTACCATGCTCGAGTTCATACAAAAGTATGCCTCATTAAAAGCAGTGCATAACATTAACCATCTTGCATCGATTAGTCCTATCGTCGAGTCTCAAGCAAGGCCTGTTTGTTGAACAACAAGGTCACGTAATAGACTGTACGAAACCTTCATCAGCTTGAATTTCTCCTGTAGTTGCTCCAAGTCAAAAGTGCATCCAATTTCTTCATGGAATTGCATAAGTATCTGATCCCAAACCTCCGGCATGGAGTTGCCTCTTCAAAATGCATATGCTAACCAATGTAACCCTAGGGCGTGCGTGAAGTATTAGTCAAGTTCATAAGTCCAATTCAAATCAATACACATAAAGCCTAAACAATTAGGTGAATAGCGATATAATTATAAATTCGACTAACTGTATTAAATGCAAGCACAAGACTTCCAGAGAAACATCTTCATTATCTTTTTAAAATGATTCTTTTGCAAAACTCTCAGATCTTTTCATGACCTCAACCATGTGCATGACCCTCTTCAACAAGCTTCAACAAATTATAGCGGGTTAATCGTGATACATTTTATAATAATACAAGTTACCAAAACATAAAGATATACAATAACTAAATTGGTAATATTAACATTACCTGATAGTTTTTCTGACAACCAAATTCTTGTATTGTTTTATAGATAGATGTGTTCTTGAAGATGGATTTGTAGACAATTTGTGACTAATTTTTATTGTTATTTGATTTAAAAGACTATTTAAATTATATCACAATCATTGTATAACTTGTACATAATTGGACATGTGTTTACAACTAATATCAATTTTTTACGGAGAAGATGTTCAATGCATGCTTTAATTTAATATAAAAGAATTTGAGTGATAAATAAAATATTAAGTATTTTGTGTATTTGTAACAAAATACAAGTGAATATTATAAAAGTAATATTTTTATAAAAATATATTATTTACTTTTACAAAATATTACTATTGTTAAATGTTTTGCATTATATGCATAAGCAAATCAGTAAACAAGACAAATACAAAAAGTTTGTTCACAAGCTTGTTCAAGAAAAGTAGTGAACAAACAATAAAAAATTTGTATTGTACTTTTGGCTTATTCATAATATTAATCAACTAGCAGGAAGGCCCGTACGGTAGCATCAACGAAAGCAATATAATAAAAAAATATTTTATAAATTTAAAATTAAAATAAAAAAAAATATACGTACACATAATTGTTCTATGTCCAAAAATTATAAAATATTATAACAATAACATCCGAAAAATCACGCATTGTTTCATATTTGCATCTTCATTTGTACAAAAAAAAATTCATCTTCATCTTTACAAAAAAAATAAAGTATCAGTATTTTGAAAAAAAAAATTAGAACATTAATAAAAAAAAATATATACACATAATATTCTTATTATTTGGCATTTTTTTGCATTTTGCATATTTATTTGTATAAAAAAAAAAAAACAAAAAGTAAAAAGGTATCAGTATTGTGAAAAAACTATTAGAAAATTAACACAAAAAACAACGCCCGTTACACATAATATTCTTATTATTTGTTTGTTTCTTCCACTATCATATGTATTCTGCGTATCATCTGCTAGATTTTTTATATCGTCATTTTTCATTTTCTTCCTTCTGTATACCTAAATATTGTAAAAAGAAAAACATTATAAAATTACCAAATATAGTATCAATATTTTAACTAAAATATTAGAAAATTAACACTAGCAAAATAATATACATAAATAATAAAATAAATACGATAAATATATGTATACACATAAAAATATAATTCAAAATTAATTAATTAATATATATAATACTTCTAACTAACACAAAATATTTGAATATTATAGAAAGTTATTCAAATAGTTAAGTATTTAAAATCAAAAATAAAATTTAATCTAATAATTTCTCATATTTATATATATAGCTAACAACATTTATCCAAATATTATAAAATAATTATGAATACAAAATAAAAATAAATATTAAAATTAAAAAAAAAACCTATCGAATTGAATGATTTAAACATCTTCCTCATCCAAATTGTACTCTCTTTCAAAACGTCAAAGTAAATACAAAATTATTAAATAACATAAATAGATAGAATAAATCAAAAAGAAAAAAAAAATAAAAAATGAAAGATAAATTACAGTAGCAATGATTGTTTGATTAGCATATCTCAACAAATAGATAGAATATAAATAAATAAGGAAAAAAAAATGAAAGATAAATTACAGTGCAATCTATTGTTCGATTAACATATATCAACATTACGCCGTGAAACGTTTTACTTCTGCAAAATAATAGGAAAAAAAGAAAAATTAGTAAACAAAAAACAAATAAAATATGAACAATAAGAATGATCAAAATCCGTGAAAAAACCTGTAAAAAAAAAAACATGAGTTCCAAAGCAAATGAGTATAAATTAAAAAAATTAAAAAATTTCAAAATTTTGTTAGTGCATAAATTAGACACTGATCTCAAATATATATATATGTATATATAGAATATAGATAATGAAAACTATATCATCCCACCACTCAATTTCTCTAACCGTATCACTCCTCTGTCACTTTTATATAACTGTAATTATGAAAAACCGTAAAAAAATCAAAACATAAAAATAAAAATAAAAACTCAAAATTCTAAGATTGCAGGATGGTATATAAATTTACAAAAAGTGGGGTCCACGCTTGAACTCTTTTATATATATACTAGCGGGAAGGCCCGTGCTACGCACGGTAGCATCAACGAAAGCAATATAATAAAAAAATATTTTATAAACTTAAAACTAAAATAAAAAAATACGTACACATAATTTTTTTATGTCTAAAAATTGTAAAATATTATAACAATGACATCCGAAAAATCACACATATTTCATATTTGCATGTTCATTTGTTAAAAAAAAAAAAATAAAAAAAAAATAAAATTTCATCTTCATTTTTACCAAAAATAAAGTAAGTATCAATATTTTGAAAAAAAAAAATTAGAGCATTAATACAAATATATATATATATACACATAATATTCTTATTATTTGGCATTTTTTTTGCATTTTGCATATGTATTTGTACAAACAAAAACAAAAAAAAAAAAAGTAAAAAAGAATCAGTCTTGTGAAAAAACTATTAGAAAGTTAACACAAAAGACAACACACGTACACATAATATTCTTGTTATTTGTTTGTTTCTTCCACTGTCATCTGCATTCTGCGTATCATCTGCTGCACTTTTTATCTTGTCATTTTGTTTTTCTTCTTTCTGTATACCTAAAAATTGTGAAAAGAAAAACATTATAAAATTGCCAAATATAGTATCAATATTTTAACAAAAATATTAAAACATTAACATTAACAAAATAAAACACATAAATAATAAAATAAATACGTAAATATATGTATACACATAAAAAATCATTCAAAAATAATTAATTAATAATATATATAATTGTTAATATGCTTTGAATTTAGGAATATGATTTAAATATTAGGTATTATATCTTAGAGATATGATTTAGATATTAGATATTATATCCTAT